TTTCTCTCCTCTGACACTGTTACTACCTTGGTGCAGGCCCTCTACCTCATACCTGGATGATTTGCAATAGCTTGCTGGTGGGTCTACCTGTCTCAAGTCTCTACTCACTCTGGTTCATCCTCCATTCAGTAACCACAGTGATTTTCCTAAGGCACAGGTTGGACCATGTCTCCCGCGCCCCCTACCCCCCAACTTCATAAACTCCAGTGGCTCCCTATTGCCTGCAGGAGCAAATAAAAAATCCTAGGTCTGGGATTCAAAGCCTTTCACAAGCTCCCACCCTCCTACCTTTCCAGTCTTCTTATACCTTACTCTCCACCATGTATATTTTCATCCAGTGACATTGGCCTCCTGGCTGGTACAAAAACAAGATACTCCATCTCTTAGCTCCAGGCATTTTCTCTGACTGTGGAATGCTCTCTCTCTCATCTCCTGTGTCCCAGCTTCCTTTACACCCCAGCTAAAATCTCACCTTCTATAAGAAGTCTCTCCCAATCCCTTTCAATTCTAGTGCCTTTCCTCTGGGAGCTATCATCTGTTTATCCTGCATGTATCTCATTTGTATACATTTTGTTGACTCCTCCATTAGACTGTGAGCTCCTTGAGGGCAGGGACTGTCTTTTGCCTCTCTTTGTATCCCCAGTGCTTAGCACAGTACCCAGCATATAGTAGGTTCTTAATAAATATTGACTAAGTTTCAAACTAAAATTTTTTTCACTATAAAAATTTTGACAAGTCTGCTATATCTGAGACAGTGCTAGGAATCTGGACCTGAATGTGGAATCTTTTGGCAGGAGTTTTAGAAACACAACCATCTGCTGGGTGGGTAGTATGTGATGAGAGGGTATTAAGGATAGTAGAGCGTCCTTGCTTTTCAAAGTCCTTTCCCATCTAGTCCCATTCTATTCTCCCCTTAAAGACCAAGGGGTGTGTGTGTGTGTGTGTGTGTGTGTGTGTGTGTGTGTGTGTGTGTGTGTGTGTGTGGTGAGGAAAGAAATCATTGGCCCCATTATAATGAAGATGACACTGAGGTCTAGAAAGACCTGCCCATAGTCACACAGTGACTCAGGGCAGAGTTGAGGCCAGAACTTGGGTGTCCTAACTTTCAGCTCTGGGTTTGTCCTGCCTGGCCAGGCTCAATTGGGGGAGCCTGTGCTTTGGGGGAGTCCTGGGAGCCTAAAGTTTGGGGGAGGAGAGTCTAAGGTCTTCCGTGAGCTTCCCTGAGATTACTCAATGACACATCTTCTGGCTAGGGAGTCTCTCCTCCTGGCTCTGTCCAGAGTGGGAGGGAGAGGGCCCTCTGGGGTTCTATTTATGGCCATCTTGTTTGAAAGGCCTAGAGATTCTATGATCTATTGGACCAATGCTGCAGCAACTTTATCAGAGGCGGCCAGCGTAAATCTGGGGATAACCTCCTTGTACAGTCAATTCATTCCTTTAGCAGGTCTATTCCTTTATCAGGTACGGGGGAAGCTTCACCATAAGGAAAGCAGAGACATAATTTGCTTGGGGGCAGATGTATTTGTTTCACTGGGTTATTATTTTAACAGTCTGATAATCATTATGTGGAGGTTGCTTCTGTGTGTGTGTGTGTGTGTGTGTGTGTGTGTGTGTGCGCGCGTGTGCTTGAGAGTGTTACCTGCATATCTTTGCCTAAATGCATGTGTATGTCTTGTATGCACATGGTCATGCATTTCATATACACATGTGTGGATTTCTATGTATACGTTTTGCATAAGCATGGGCGCATTGTGCCAGGACTTGCACACACTGGAGACGTTAGTATAACACACATGTGTATGCATGCATGTTTTCCACAAGTGTGAGCACACATACAAGCTTTGATGTACATGCAGAGCACAACTATGTTTTGCACATGTCTGCGCACGTAGTGGTGCCTGTGCGTGCACAAGCATGTGTGAGCCATTGTTGGCGGCTTCCTTTTTTTCTTCCCTGAATAGTTTCATTCCCTTATCAGCGCCCATTGTGAGGAGGGTTACTGCACGTTGGCCTGTTGGCTGGGCTGGAGTACAGTAATTTTATTAAGAGATTTATTCCATGTCAGCTCCTTATTGCTCTGGGTACTCAGTAGTACAATCACACCCTCCAGGGCTCACCTGTCCTAGCCCCCTCCTTCCTCATCCCTTGCAGGGTTTGTTATAAACAAGGGACAGCCGGCTTCTCTCTCTCCCCTTGGCTCAGTTCCTTTCTCCTGCCAGGAGCAAGGGATCACTTTCTCACCTTAAGCAGAGAATAGGCGTGATTTGAGCAGAGAGGGACAGGTTCCCCAGGCCCACCTTGAAAAGCCTTTCACCTGCCATGGTTCCTGGGATCCTACCATTACAGCTCCATTCCTTTGAATAGGTGTGAGTAGGCATTGCCTTCTCTGGACCAGCAGAGCATCAGGGTGTCATCCTGTCTTATTGGGTCTCTTCCACAACTAGGGCAGGGGTTATAGGGTCTTGGCCAGGCCATTTTGCCCTGAAAAATGCCACATAAATATTAGTGATGGTGAGCATGGGGATGATGAGAATCCAGACCACACTGAGCCATGTGGTCTAGTGGAACAGCAAGATGCTCATTAGGCTTGTAGCCAATGGGTTTGTGTTCAAGTCTCAACTGTTTTACTAGCTGTGTGTTCTTGGGCAAGTCACTGAGTGTTTCTCTCATCTACCAAATGGAAACTATAATACACCCCGGGGTGGAGTGAGGTGAAAGCACCAAGCCTTCTCTGCTAGCTGAGATCCGTGAGAGTCCAAAGGGGCTCTCCCTTCAGAAGTGAGAATAAAGAGTTGTGCCAAACAGAAAAAGAGAGTCTGTTCTAAGTGATCCCCTGTAGAAATATTTGCAAGGAATTGGATAAAACTTGTTTTCGTTGGTGCGGAGAGCAGGATTAAGAATGATGAGAGGAGGTGAGAAAGGCAGATTTTAACTCTAGACTTCCTCATACTCAGAAGTGTCTCACAGTGGACAAGGCTGCCTGGGGAGGTGGTGAATTCCCTGGAAGTCTTAGGATTGCAGGATCCAGAATTGTAAGGGACTTCCGTCTAAGCAATGTGCTCCCATTTTACAGAGGAGAGAATTAGGTCACAAAGAAGGGTAACTAACTTGCCCAGGGGTCCATAGGTAGTAAGTAGTAATAACTGAATGTTGGCGATATTGTGGAGGGCATGTCACCAGGGAGGTTCCTTCCAGTCCTGAAGTTGCGGGAATCATCCTGGGACCATCTTCCAAGTTACTGGGCTGCCCACCCTTCTGGCAGACATCTTTGGCATGCTCAACCCATAACCCTCAACTGAATTTGCCTTAGCCCCAGTTTTGGATGGTTACTGCTCTGATGAAGAGGGTTGGTGCAAGAAGGATCAGATCCTCCCAGACAGTGTAGAGCTTGGCCATCTGTCTCCACTTTGTGTTTTTTCATCTCTTACACAGAGGTTCTGTGGCCTCCTCCTGGTCCACAGGGACATCCTATGCTATGAAGTGCATATCCATCTCTAGGCAGATCTCCTTCCCCATCCAGAGGTTGGAGCCGAGGAGGAAGGAAGTTGGACGGGAGCAGTGGCTCTCGCTGAGTGGTGGTATTTTATTCTAATGGAGCCACTGGAAAACTGGAATTGTGTTATCAATAGGAAAGCACAGCTATTGATGGGGTTGCAAAAGAAAATCAACACTTGTCTTTAAACCATGCTGCCCATTGACGAAGTGCAATCCTCTTCCCCATGATAGCCCCATAGGTACTTGGAGATATCACTCATCTTTTCACACACACCCCCTCCTCAAGTCTTCTCTTCTACAGGCTAAACATTCATCTGAAACTTCAATAATGATAGCTAGCATTCGCATAGTGCTTTAAGGTATGCAAAGCACTTCACAAGCATTATCTCCTTTGGTACTCACAATTATGCTGAGAGATAGGTGTTCTTTACCCATTTTATAGATGATGAAATTGAGTCAGACAAAGGTAAAGTGACTTGTTTGGGGTCACATGCCTAGTAAGTGTTCTGGGGCAGCCTTTGAGCTTTTTATCTACTGTGGCACACTGACTGTCAGTGCCTTGGATTATTACTTCTCTTTCCAGGTGATAAACAGCCTAGCTGTGTGGCAAGGGGATTGGACTTAGAGCTGGAGACTTGAGTTAGATTCTTGTTTTTGCTGTTAATATTTGTCTATAAACCATGTTGCCATGCTATGAAGTTTAATCCCTCTTCCCCATGATTTGGGGATGATCTTCAGGCACTTGAAGATGGCAATGATGTTCTCTTCCACCCCCCCCAAGTCTTAGAAAAGTCAGGTCACCTCTCTGACCCTCTGGTTCCTGCTCTGTTAAATAAGGGAAAATAATATCTCCCAAGTGAGATAAGAAGAGTACTTTGTAAGCTGGACAAACCGATAGGAATGTGAGCTGCTGGTGGTGCTGCTGCTGGTGGTGTTACTGCTGGTGGTAGTGGTTGTGTGGTGGTAATGCTGCTGCTGCTGCTGTTGAGGTTTTCTGTCTCTCACCACCTGGCCCAGCAACTTAGAGATCTGTTTTCTAGGGCATAGAAGGTTTGCTGTGTGCTTCTATAGAGACAGAGCAGCTACACTGATAAAACCCCAGATTTTAGGATCATGGATTCAGAGCTGGAAGGGACCTTCAGTATCACCTTTATTTCACAGGTAGGAAACTGAGGCCCAGAGAGGTTAACTCATGGTTATATTGGGGCAAAGCAAGGATTTAAATCTAGGTCTTCTGATCCCATATCCAATTCACTTTCTACTGTCTCCTGTTTCCCCACTTGTTCTACGTGACTCCATGAGCAGGTACAGGGAGGACTGGGAGTGGGCTGGGGAGAAGAGAATGAGCATTTATATAGCACCCACTATGTGCCAGGGACTATGCAAAGAGCTTTTTACAAATATTATCCTATTTGATCCTCACAACAACACAGGGAAGTAGGTGCTGCTATTATCCCCACTTTACAGTTGGAGAAACTAAGGCAAACGGAGGTTAAGTGACTTACCCAGTGAGTGACTGAGGCTGAATTTAAACTCAGATCTTCCTGACTCCAGGTTTAGTGCTCTATGCACTGATCACCAGCTGCACAAACAGGTCTGTGTGTGAGAGAAACGTGGATCAGAGAAAGTGAAAGGTCAAGAGTCCTAAGTCCTTAGGAACATAAAATCACTGATCTGCAGCTGGGAGGGATCTCAGGGGCCACCTATATTTTAAGCTTCTTAACTTTACAGGTATGGAAACTGAGGTCACACAGGAAGCCAATGTCAGAGGAAGGATCAGAAAACAGGTTCTCTGACTAGACACAGGGCTCTTTCTAACTCCATCTGTATAATTTTGCTGAGAGTCAACCTTGGGCAGCAGCATCTTACAAGATACTAAAAGCCAGGAGAACTCAGGCACCGCCTGGCCCCCCTCCAGCTCTCCGACTTCTCAGTGCCAAAACCTCTCCTGCGGACATTTGACTTTCCTATCAGGTGACACCATCACATCCTTCCCTCCGTTATAATTTTGAATGTTTTATGGTGGGTGCTTCATCCTTTTTCTTTTTATCGGGAATCACTGCCTGAACGTCACATTATTCTGACATTATTGTTCTTTTCATCAAAGATTAAAAAGAATATAGACTTTGCTGATGGGAAAAGTGTCATCAGAAGGCAGCAGGAGGATGATTTCAGGCACGCAGGCTGTTAATGGAATTTAATATAAATAAACCCTCACATTCTTAGGGAATGAGACACCTCCAGTGAATTGGGGTTAGAACACTTTGCCCTGAATTTATGATGCAATGTAACTTCAGCCCAAGGCAGTGGACCATGGTGGGAAGCATACCGGCCTGGGAGCCAGAGAATCATAGATATGAAGCTGGGAGGGCTGTTACACACTGTTTAATTCAATCCTTTCATTTTACTGATGAGAAAACTGAGGCCCATAGAGGTTTAGTGACTTACTCAAGGTCAGATATGTAGTTAGTGTACATATTTGATTAATTTTTATGTGCATACATATCGTGGTCTTCTCTTTCCCCTCTCCCCTCCATCATGGAATGTAAACTGCTAGAAAGCATGAACATTTTTGTTTTTGTACATCTAGTATATCAATCAGCAAACATTTGTTAAACACCTACTATGTGCTAGTACATAGTAGGTGTTTAATAAATATATGTCAGAGGTAAGGACTTGAACCCAGATCTGTCTTGGTCCTGAGCCAGCTGTCTGTCTACTAGGTGACACTGCTTGTCCTTTCACAGATATTAAATCTTATTTTTATTTGTATAATTATTATTATCTGTATCTGAGTTGGTTAGTCAATCTTTTGAGGAAAATAATGATTAGAGTTGGAAATCATTTAGTGAATCCAGGTAATTTCACAGATAGGGAAACTAAGGCTGGAGAGGGGGAGAAACTTGCAGTCATGGAGCTCATCATAGCACCTAATTCCTAGGGTTGTTGAGAAGATAAAATGAGATATCACTTCTACAGCTCTTAGTAAACCTTAAAGCACTACACGAATGTTGTTATTCTTGTCCATCATCATCATTAGCAGGGGAATAAGATAAAAAAGCAAAGACCTTTCTTTGTTGGGTTTGTGATTTCACTGATATAGGCACCTTCCCTAAGGACAGAAATTGACACATACCTGCCCATCCTCTGTGATTGGCCTATGTGTTCCCATAAATCTAAGGTCCACTCAATGTGCTGGGGGGTAGGGCTTGGGCTCTTCTTCAACATGTCTTGACCTCATGTAGATATCAATGCAGCAATGTGGGCTGTCCATTGGTCATACCAGGCTCTCCTTACAGGATGAGCCTTACCTTATTCTAATAAAGGAGACAATATGTAATTAAATGGGTGCATGCCAGATTTATACAAAGTACCTGGAAATTAATCTTAGAGGGGAAGATACTCACAGCTGAGGGGACTGATAAAGCCTGCTGTAGAAGATGGGATTTGACCTTGAAGGAAGCCAGGGACCCTAAGAGACAGAGGAAGCATTGCAGGTCTGGGAGACAGCCAGGGCAAAGGCATGGAGATTATCTAGTCCTAACCCCTTATTTGACAGATGACGTTCACAAGGTCTTAGATTGAATAGTTTGGATGTAGCCCAGGTGGGGATTTTCATTTCAACTCTTTCCCTGCAAATCTCATGCTTTTTACACCACAGTAGATATGGCCTGCAGTTGTTTGCTTTCCTCCAAGTTTTTTCCATATTAGTAATTAGGATTTGGGGCTAGAAGGGAACTTTCAGATCAAAAGACCTAGGTTCCATCAGGACTATGCTACTTATTACATGTGACTTTGGCCAAATCACTTCTCTGGGCCTCAGTTTACTTATTTGTAAAAAGAAGACAATGGACTTTCCAGCTCTCAGTCCTAGGGGGCTATGAAGTGTTTCCATGTATGGACCCTGCCTGTCACTTACCACCATTGTACTTCGTGACCAATTAAGCAGAATGTGTCTAATCTCTCTGCTTCATAACAGCCATTCAAACAGAAAGTCAAAATGTTCCCTATCCCTATTTAAATCTCTACTCAGACAAGAAGTCAATTTCTTCGGGTATTTCCCCCTCGTCCCTGTTACCTGCAGATGTGGGCTTCTGTGTCCGGTCACTGTATTATTGTCATCTCCCATATGAGGGTGAGAGACTGTGCATTATCCAAACTTTGTCTCTCCCCTGGCACCTAGCCCGGGCTCAGCACCCAGTAGGTGCTTAGGACCATAGATCATGGCATTTAACACAGTGCCTATCACATAGTAGGTGCTTACTACATGTTTATGGACCGATGGACTGACAGATGACGAGCTGGAAGAGCCCTCAAAGACCTCATTTGAGAGGTGACAACACTGAGTCTTGGGGAGATTAAGTAAGTGACTTTGCCAGATTCACCCAAGTAGCCAGTGACTGTGAGAGATGACTTGAATTCAGGTGATCTGACCCCGGAACCAACCTGCCTCTAAAGTAACTGCTGTCCTGGACTTACTCTCAGCTGGGACTTAGAGTAGAAAAGGATGATGGCAGTCACCTGGTTAAGCTCCCTCCTTTTACCTGAGAGATAGGGACAGGTCACATTGTCAGTAAGTGGCACAGATGGTCTGGTGTTTGCGGGACACTCAGATAGATAAATAAGGGTAATTGAAAAGCTATAGGAATTTGAAGATTCTTCTGAAGGCCACATGGGGCAGGGAGGTTGGGGGCTTCAGGATGCTCTTAAAGCCTAGAGCTGGGCATTGTGGGGAATTTGGGAGAGAGAAGTAACAAATTCCAGACTAAAAACTATGAAATTTATCTAAAAACATTTTCTCATCTCTATCACCCTGGGACGTACCCATCAGGTTTCAAGGCTGCTAGGCTTAAGATCTGAGTTCTGTGTGAAAGCATTTAGGATGTCAGAGGAGCAGAGGGAACAGGTTCAATGGGATCTTGGAATGGTCCAGGCCTTAGGTTTCTGATTTAATCATCAGAACCATCATTTTAATAGAGGCTTTTAAAAGAAGATATTCTGTACTGGAAAACACCTGATGCCTGGGACAAACTTGGTGAAAAGTCCCACATCTCTGATGGTGCTGGCCTTGAAGAAAGGAAGGCAGGGAATGAGCATTTATTAAGTATCCACTATAGGCCAGGCTGTATGCTAAGTACTTTACAAATATTATCTCATTTATTCCTCACAACAACCCTGGGAGGTGGATTTTGTTATTATTATTATTATTAATTTATCATTTTTTCAGTTGAGGAAATTGAGGCAGAGATGTTAAGTGACTTGCCCAGGGTCACACAGCTAGTAAGTGTCTGAAGTTGGATTTGAATTCAGGTCCTCTTGACTCCAGAAATCTATCCACTGTGCCATCTAGTGGCTTGTAAGACTTAAAACTCAGCGTGAAGTGAGGTATAATGCATACCTTAATAAATGCAGACATGTTCTCCCACCTTTGACTTTGTTATAACAAATATATATAACACATATATAACAATGGGATTCCCCATTGTACCCCTGCCATTTATATTCCTTTCAGCAGAAAGCAGGCACGCACCAGCAGGCAGTTTCAAGTTCAGTGTTGTAAATTTGATATGTAATTTGGTTTTGCAAGTTACTCAGAATATTATATAGGCAACTAGATGGCAGAGTGGATGGAACAATGGACTTAGAGTCAAGAAGAACTGAGTTCAAATCCAGCCTCAAACACTAGCTGTGTGACCCTAGGCAAGTCACTTAACCTCTGTCTGCCTCAAATGTAAAATGAGAGTTATGACACCTACCTCCCCTTGTTGTGAGGAACAAATTAAATAATATTTAATATTGTTTAGCACATTATTAAATAATGTACATGTAAATAATATTTAGCACAATGCCTAGCACCTAGTAGATGCTTAATAAATGTTTGTTCTCTTCCTCTTTGTGGCTTACCATCACAAGCCAAGCTAACACGCTTCCCCCTGCCCCCATATAGTCCTTACTCCTAGGGTAATTTAATTTAAAATGACACATTGATATGAATATAGAATGCACTTTCCCCTTTAAATGGCTGGTACAAAAGCCTGAAGACAGCTTATATAATTCCTCTCCAATTGGGTTTTGTCTGTCCCCTTTCTTTTAGCCTTCCAAAGTAAGAGGCAAGGTCTGAGTGTGGAATTTTCAGTATATCTGCCTTTTTGGGGAAAGGAAAATGGCACCCTCCCTTTTTTCTTCCCCTGAATATGGGTCTGTGAATTAAAAAATGAAGGCTACCCGATCACACCTCTACAGATGAAGAAACTGAGGCTTAACATAGGGAAACTGCCAGGCTACCTGTTGATGGGCTAAGGGATGCTCTGAAGGTCCAAGGCAGTTTGGCTTTCCTCTACGAGCTATGCGTTAGGATAGACCCAATGATGTATCATTACTGCACCTGCTGCTTGGGTACAGGTCAGTTTCCTTTGTGACCCAGTAGGGACAACAGTCAATTCTCTGGTTTCTTCCCTGAGAGAGGAGCCTTTGCTAATCACCACAGGTCTTTTATCTTCTGGTCTTGGCTCTATCTCTGACTTACTGTGTGACCTTCTATAAGT